AGGGGGCTGGGGGCTCGGGGGGGTGGGGAAGAGCCTTCTGGAACCTTCTTCAGCAGCCCCCAGCCCCACGGCGCCGCCGTGCAGGCAGTGCAGGAGCTGTCCTCCCGTCCGGGCCACGCTGGCAGCAAGGGACCACGGGATTTGGGTGCTGGCAGGATCTGGTCCATCTTCTGACGGTCCCCAACTGTGTCCCCAGCCCTTGGGACACTGCGGCGAGCGGGAGATGCCTGGGCTGGACGCGGGAGGTGGGGATGGCTTTGCCCCCTCTCCAGATACGCTCCGGCAGAGCTGCTCCCCTGTCCCCCTCCCTGGGTGCTGATGGATGGGCCGGAGCTGTTAATATTCAGCACGCTCCACCATTTTTCCACCTTCTGCCATCTGCCCAGCTCTGCCCACCATTTCTATTCTTGCCTGCCGGCTGGGGGTGACGCTGTGCCAGGGCACCCACCTCCCCCGGCCCCTTCGCCCCACCCCCACACCAGCAGCAGGGGGGATCCCACTGGCACCGGGCTACGGCCTGGGGTGCAACCTCAGCGTAAATAAGGAATTAGCATCTGGTTTAAGCAGCCCCTCCAGGCGTGGGGCTTTGTCATGACGATACCTGCTTTCATCCGTAAACTGCCACGGCAGCTCCCCGGGAAGGCAGCCAAGCTAATAATCCCCCAAAATGGTGCAATAAAATACCCAGAAAGGTGGTGCCTTTAAATCATACCAGAGCCCCGGCTTTGCCGCCCGGTGCCAGTGCGTGCCTCTCCGCTGGCTGGCAGGTGCCGGGTGGGCTTGGGCCGAAGCGCCAGGATGCTGGAGCAGGGATGGGGGACAGCGCCAGCGTTCGCTCGGTGCTTTTCCTCGCCAAGTGCCACCTAAGCACCAGCTGCTCCTGGAGCACACCCAGCTTGGCCAAACTGGCACCCGCGGGTGACGCAGCCGGGTGCGGGCTGGGGTGCACCGGCTCGCAGTGCCCGGGCATAAGGAGATGGTGGCTCGGCCAGCCTGGCTGGCATGGCTGGGGATGCCAGGGCGGCTGTTCTGCCCATCCTGGTGGCTCTGGTCCCCAGGGCCGGCTGGCGGGAGCGGCAGCACTGCGCTGCGCTGGGTCTCCCTCTGCTCCTCTCCCCGCTGGAGCATTAGGAAGCTGGCAGCGTATTGTTTGATGAGCGGATAATCCGCTGAATTGCAAACAGCTTTACCCAATTGAAGAGACGGATTACCGCTCTCCAGCTTAATCATGTTGACATCTCGGAGAGTAGCCAGTGCTCGTCCTCTTTGGTGCATGGCGAGGGGCTTGATGGCAACGTGGGGTCCCCCGGTAGTGGCATGCCATGGGGCTGGGGGGCAGGACGTGGGCTGTGGTGACGGCAGCCAGCCGTGACCCTCACTGTTGTGCCTCCCTGCAGGTTCACAGACGCGGAGGCGGTGGTGATGGGTGATGTGACCTACGGCGCGTGCTGCGTGGACGACTACACAGCCCGGGCCTTGGGCGCTGACTTCTTGGTGCACTACGGACACAGCTGCCTGAGTAGGTGACACTTGGCCCTGGGGCGCTGCTGAGGCGGCCGTGTGTGGCACTGCGGAGGCTGCACCACTACCATTGTGCCATGCCGAGCGGCTCCCCGCCCCGCTCGACGCTGGCTCGGAGACTTAGTGCCAAGGGCTAATCCCTTCCCAAAGGGATCTCTGTTCTCCAGCCTCGGTTGCTGGCTTTGGATGGGACCAGGCTGGCTGGGCGGCTGCCCACGGGCAGGATTTTGAGGGCAGCAGGGAGTGCTCAGCCTGCTCGGCCATGCGCTGTCGCAGCGCCCAAATTGCAGCCCTGTGCCCAAGAGCAGAGCAGCGAAGCCATGGCTTGGCAGGACCCAGCTCGCCCAGGAGCTGCCGATGGGGACGGGGCTGCTCTCGCCCCCGGCCCCACAGCTGTGGGCTTTGGGGGAATTCGGGAGCGACAGCGGAGGGGAGTGATGGCCTGGGGGCCCCGCTCGCCCGGGGGCTGGCGCGGGGCTGGGGAAGGCGGCTTTGTGGGTGCAGCACAGGCTGGGCGGGGAAGGGAGGAGGAGGCTGTGTGCTCCCCAGGCGGACGGTACTCTGGATCCAGTTGCCATGGAAACTGCGCTGCTGTCCCAGATGCTGCTAACTTTGAAGTCCACCCAGGATGGAATCAGCCCAAAAATAACAATAAGACGCTCTGGGTTTTAAGGTGGATCGGCAGAATTGCCGTAGCGAGCGGCAGGCGCGTGCATCGCTGCTGCCGCCGCGCTCCCAGCACCCGGCAGCCCTCCTGGACGTTTATGGGGCCATATAAATGGGTTTGAAGAATTGCGTCAGGCTCCGTATGAAATACTGACTCCCTGCTTGAGAACTGTGTCCTGAAAGCCACGTCAGTGTGAGCGTTCGTGGTGATAAATATCTGTGCTAGGTGCTTTGTTACGGAAGGAGGGTTATCGGCACCACTGGAACAGGGAGTATAAAACCCCTGGTTTGTAGCCTGCTATTACATGAATGAACAGCGGGAAGGGGAGGAAGGGGCCATATTCAGCGGTGCTTGGGAGTGCGCCAGTGCAAGAGCCGGGCTGCTCCGGGGGACGGGATTCACATCTTCTGGAGCTGCTCCCTGCAGGGACAGGCAGGCACTGCCAGGCTGCCTGTCACCAGCCCAGCCGCCATCCGCTGCCCGTGGCTGTGTGGTCTTTGCCTGCACCAGTCTGGATGGGTCACAGGGCACCCTGGGGTGCCCACAGGGTGCTGGGCTCCTTTCGGGCTGCCCACGGAGCTCCCGGCACCGGCTCGGCGCAGCCGCCTTCGCAGGGAGCCCTGTGGCCGATGGCGGGGTGCATCCCGGCGCAGCACAGAGGCGCTTGCCCCCTCCCTCCTGGCCCCACATGCCCCGTGGGAGGGAGTAATTTGCACTTAATTGTGATCAGGTGAAGAGCACCAAAACGGGAAGTGAATGCGGAGCTGTGGATCGATGTGGACTCTGTGTACTTTAATTATTCACTTAATCGTGGTGACACAGGCTTCTTAGCACCGGGGGTAATTAGATTTGTGTTCATTGATTCCCCAGGCTGCCATTATCCAGAGACAAATGAGCGGGTGCTCTCCATGGCTCCCGTCTGCGCACCCTGCCCGGGGTGCCTGGGGTGCCAGCGCGGGCAGAGGGGTGGCACAGCCCACCCTGGCCTGCCCGCGCTGGGGCAGCTGGGACGCAGGGAGCCCCACCAATGTGCTCTATCCCCCGGCTGCGGGCGGCAGCGGTGGGGTCTTGCCGGGGCCCCGGGTGTACCCCCCACTCACACCCTCTCTCTTCCTCTCACCAGTTCCCATCGACGCCACGCAGGGGCTGAAGATGCTCTACGTGTTTGTGGACATAAAGATCGACACGTCCCATTTCCTTGAGACCATTCATTTCAACTTCGCAGCAGGCACTTCCCTGGCCCTCGTCAGCACCATCCAGTTTGTCTCCACGGTGCAGGTGAGATGGGGACCCCCAGCAGTGCGGGGCATGGGACGGGGCTTGTGCCTCCCCCCACCTTGGCCCCGGCTGGGTCCCTCCCTGCCTCGGCTCCGGGGCTGGAGCGGCTGCCCCAGGGTGCTGGTGGTGACGGTTCCCCTCTGACGAGTCACTGCGATAATATGCTGCTGCCGTAATGTTGATCAAGTACTTTATAATAACTCTGATCAATGTTTCATGGCGGCACCCCTCCCTGGCTCCCCCGGGAGCTGCTCTGTAAATGTCAGGGCAGGCGGTGGAGCACTTGGCATTTTGATGCAGTGCCAGCAGCGGCAGGGGAAGCTCTGGCGGGTCTGTCTGTCTGCCCCTGAACGGCCAGCTGGGCAGGATGGGAGGAGATGAATGAGCCTCTTGAGCCATGTCTGTCTAAACACGGGGCTATCGAAGCGTTAAGCGTTTTCCCTTGTCTTTTAATTGATATGTTGGCTGAGCCTCGCAGAGCATCTCGGCTGTGCGGGGCTGTTACCCTCCGTGATGGTGCTGCCCCGAGCAGACCGGCTCCCCCCCCCCCCCCCCCCCCCC